TTAATTTTTTTAATGTGTTTTAGTGTATTTTCCCCAGTTTCTTTCTTTGAAAAGTAGGAAGACTTGTTAGAGAGTTCTTGGAGAAAGCAGTGTTCGGATATTAACCATGCAGGTAGCTAGACAGTTCAAGCAGAATGTTTCCATATAATTTCTCATTCTGTCAAAGGTAAAAGTGGTATCTGGCAGGTAGTTGTATGTAAGCTACTTTCTTATTCTATTTATTTTATCTGCTTCAGAGTGATCCTGAGTGGATTAAATATACCTGGATTTTCCATTTTATGATACACTCTTAACTGTATTGCTGGAGTGTATATGTTGTTAGCACTTGGAATTTGTTGCAATTTCCATAATGTCCTCGAAGTGAGCCTTTGCCTTGAGGTTGATGCTTAGGCATTGAGAATAGCATTCAAGAGGAGTAATACCATTCCAGCAAATTTACTGAAGGAAATACACTTTTTTGTTTGTTGGTATGCATGTGGATGTTACCTAAATGTGAATTGGATATTTTCAAAATGCAAGAATCCAGACGGCAAACTCAATGCAGCTGTTTCAGGATCAAAGCGAGTAATGAAAATTCTGTATTAATATTCTATATTGTACATTAATATGTTCAGGAAAAAATGATGTTAATAATATAGCCCATTATATCATTCTGTGCTCAGTTCTTGGGTCAAGTAATTCCAGTGTTATTTGCCTAAGACAAAAAGAACAGAAGCAGGTTGTCAGAGTGCAAGCCAACATGAGCAGATGAAAAAGGGGTTTTATTGTCTGAGAAATGGTTCTAGGTAATTGAAGATTACTAGTAAGGTACATGAGGGTTAAACATGTATTTTATAGATACTATGAATCATTCATCTTGTTAGACCCGAGTACAAGTGGTGTAGCTCTCTAGTGCACTTTAAATGAATTTGCATGTTTAGTTCTTAACGTTTTGTACACTACACATGTATGCATAGGTTGTAATTACTTCCATGCAAGAGTGTTAACTTGAAAGCTTGCTTTAATACCACAGAGCTGTAGATTTTCATTTTAGAATGTTGTAGTCACAGAGGTTCTCTTTTCTTCTTTTTTAATATATTATACTTGTCTTGGTTTTAGGACAAGAAGAGACTCCTAAATTAGGATACTAATGGTCTTTTGTCTTAGGGTATAATGTTTTATAAACAATAATCATATGTTAATACTAAATATAATTTTGCTTCTGTTTAAAGACCTTGTTTTTGTAAATCCTTGTGCACAGTGTTATTCTGAGCATATGAACTAGTTGCATTTACTCCCATGCTGTATATTACTGCTTTGATATGACCAAAGGTATTCTTATTAAAACCAGAATAGTTATATTTCAGATTATGATTGAATACTTCCTAGTGCTTTCAAATTATACTTCTAAAAGCAGATACTTTTCAGATGATGGGGAAGATACTCAAAAGAGAAATATTTAAAAATCCACAAGTTGTTTTTACAGATTGTGATACATCTGATCATTTATGGAGAGTGTGTTATTAGAAGGCAGTAAAATCAAATACTTGATTACTCTTTTTGCTTTATATAAAGCGACTAAGATGCTGCATAGTACATCTAGTTAATCTTTCTTAAAAGAATCCATACGACTGATCTGTCAACATAAAGTAACTTTTGGAAAGCGTGCCTCCCTTTCATGTGGTTGGTAGAAAGAACATGATTGGTATAAACAGTCATTATTCTCAGTGGAAAAAAAACCCTGTAGCATTTTTGCAAAAATCTTTGCCTAAAAACCTACAGTCAGAAATCACTCTTTGTTCATAGCAGTTGAACACTGAAAAATGAAGCAAAGTGATCTAAATTGAATTTACAAGACTGATAACCATGCAACTGGGGGAGAGTAGCTGCCGCACAACCTGTACTCTGTCAAGGGAATTTAATTATAGATGGTTATACTTGAGTATAATTTGTTAATGTGTGCTCCTTGCAAGGGGAGAATAATTCTCACAAAGCATTGACAGTTTTGTACATTTTTACCAGGATACTGTCAAAGGAAGGGGATTTTCATTGAATTTTATAATATACAGGCATGGAGGAGGAATATCAATGAAGTGGCTATCAGGGTGTTTCCATTGTTTTTTTTTGTTTGTTTGTTTTTTGTGGTTTGTTGTTTTTTTGGTTTTGGTTTTTGTTTTTGTTTTTTGACTACTGGAGTCTATGTAAAAAGATGAGGGGGGGAAGAAATCCTCTCTATGACTTTGAATATAAAAAGTGAATATATTATGTTACAGTGCAATAGTTGGGAAATATTTTTTTATAAAATATTGTTGTGATATCTTAGTCTTTTGGACAATAATGACTGTAATATCAATTTTAAATTTCACCTTTTTGAAAAACAGTAATAAAGTTTAGATTAATAGTAATTTTCTTTCCCACTCGCTACTTTTCAGAAGTAAGTCTGAGAGGAGCCAGAGGTGAATCTGTCTTGCTCTTCATCCTTTCGTCAAGGCAGTCTTTTGAAGAGCAGGTTTTGAGAGCAGCTGTAGCTGAGATGAGAGGTCAGCAGAGGCACAGAGCTGTGGGTTATATTGCTGGCTGGTTTTCTTCCCTTAGTCTCCTAATGTGAACTGTTTCTAACCGAGGGGGGAAGATGATGCTTAGGGGAGGCCTGGCTTTCTCCATGCCTGGGCTATGGGTGGTCTGGGCCTCCGAACCCAAGTACAAGCAGTTCTGTTCGGTAGTCCAATCATTAAGTTCTTAAATCATTAGATGCAGTGACTTTAGAGTAAACTCATCTTGGACACCTCTTTATTTTTGAACTAAACAGTGCAGAATATCCAGCTCTGAAGTTTGGCTAATCAGAATTTCAGAATTAGAGAATTAGGACTGTGGTAATGATTTCTGGGTACTAGTATAGTTGTTTTAACTGGTAGTTTTATATCCCTGGCTTAGAATGGTGCATTTTCTCAGTTGGCTGTTGCATTTCAGCATACTGTTGCGTTAAGATGACTCAAGCCACAGCGGTTGGTGTTGAAAAGAGTGGGTGGCCAATGGGATGGTCAACATCTGGGAGCTGGACCTTCTGCCTATTTACTCCTACCATGTGAAGAGCAAACAAGAGGTTCTGTCACTGTCTCCAAATCTTGCAGACCTGTAGTCTGTAGATCCATAGGAAGGGAAGTCAGTTCTGCTTTATGGAGCAGGTAGGATGGACTTAAGCAATAGGGATTGCTTAGAGAGTAATATAGGTGAAAACTTCTGCGAGAGGCTGAGTATCTACTAGCATCTCAGTGAAGCACTCTCACTGCTAATGAGCAAGACCTGAGGCAACATCTGAAGGAGGACCACAGGAGAATCCTTAGTGGTGAGGTTTCCGCCTATCACCCAGGCAGATTTGTTCTTCCTGGGTTCAGAGCTTTGTGGACGTGGCGCACTCTTCTCCCGGAGGTGAGGCTCCTGTTTCATGGAGGGAGACCTTCAAATTCTGTGAGCTGTCTGGAAAGAGTAGTATCCCTGCCCAGCACAGTAAGATCCGTATTAAGAAGGTTGACCTTTCATCATTCATTTGGAGAAGTGCTGTGCTTTGCCTCATTTTTGTACATGATGGACCCTTTTAAAGTACAGTCTTTTCTGTCAGGAGAGGGCAAATAGGGATTCCGGATTAACTGAAAGGGTGCTGTAAGGAAACAAATTTTATGTGTCATCTGAACATCAGCTCAGTCCTTGAAGTTCAAATACAAAATGGTACAATTCTTCCTCTCAGTACCTTCCTGGAAACAGCGCATTACAGAAGAAAATGTATGATGCATGACATTTAGTAGTTATTTTTCTTGAGAGGACCTTTAGGTTTTGAAGCTAAATAGTTTGTGCATGGTTTACCACAATATAAAAAGTCCAATAACTGAAATGAGGCATAAAGCCTCATTTCATCTTAATCTTCACTATGTGTATTTCAGCACAACCTTCGTAATGATGTTTTGCACTTCTATTGCCCATACAATCAAAATTTTTCATAATGCTTTGGAAACATTAAAGAACGATCATCGGTTATAAAAGCATACTTTTTTTTTTTTACCTACTGTTATTTTCAGTAACCCAGAAGATAAGTGGTAGTGAAAGCAATTGGATAAAGAAAGCAGCAACCTGTTATCAGTTTGGTTTTGTGCACTTCACATCATTATCTATACAAATGATTTTACTGACTTCTTGTTCCAGTGTGCATCTTTCAGACAGAACAAAAGGAAGGAGGGGGGAAATTAAACAAGCATGGGTAACTCCGAAGTAGATGAATGGACATGTGTGGTACATGAAACAGCTTAAACAACAACAACAACAACAACAACAACAACAACAAAAACACAAGAAAACAACAACAAAACCACAAACAAACAAACAAAAAAAAAGTGATATCTTTAACTTAGATTTTCTCTGTGAGCTAATTATTTACTGCTGCCTCTGTCTTGTAGATGAGGGATGAGGGAACTCATCCTCATAAGTGAGAGCTCATAAGTGACCTACCTGAGATGATACAGCTGAATCACAGGCTGAGCTGGGCACAGAAGTTAATATCTTAATGGACTTCTGGATTTCTGCCTTACCCTCGTTGGCAGAGAAGGCGCTGGAAGCACAGTTGCGTTCGCGATTATGGTTGCAGCATAATTAAATTTGTTGAATATTCTTAATTAGTTGACTTGACTGGATCTTTGTGAGGCTTGAGGTGTAAATCCTTGTAGCCATTCCACTAGAAACCAACTGAAAAACAGTGTAGGACATGGAGGGAAATGGTTTTCTTGCTGGGGAGTAGGTCTTTGAGAGAGAGGCAGTCTAGGGTTAAAAACTCTTCCTAGCAGTCTACAGAAAGATACTAATTATGTGGACTGACCCCTAAAGTACAGGACTGAACTCATAATTGCATGTGATAATAGCAGCAACAAGTTAAGTCCTTCTACTTTTGAATATTTTTTCTTAATATATGTCATGCTGAGTTCAGGTGGGCTGCTTTTTCATTTTTTGTTCTTTATTTTGTGTCTGTCTTACAGTGAGGTTTCAAAGCTGTGATGGAAACAAAAAAATACACTTTGGAAGCAGTGATCCAGAAGACTTCAGGGTAGGTGAAGATGGTGTGGTCTATGCAGAGCGAAGCTTTCAACTTTCAGCAGAGCCTACAGAGTTCGTCGTGTCTGCTCAAGACAAGGAAACCCAGGAAGAATGGCAAATGAGAGTGAAGCTAACCCCTGAACCAGCCTTTGCAGGAGCTTCAGAAAAGGTAAAACAATGACTAAATGCAACCTGTACAAACCTATGTCCGCGAACAGGCTGAAAAATGGGGATTTGATTCTGTCTGTTATGTACCTCTCCATGAGGCAGTTTATTAATGGGCACGGAGTGCGTGCAAAGCTGGAGCTTTAGAAAGAACTTTCTTATAGTCTGTTATGCTGTAGCTTTGCTAAGGCATGGAAAGACATGCCTTTTTAAGTGTATAGGATTCATTTATGTTTGAGCTTTTTGTTTGTATAGTTTGAGATTTATACCTGAATTTAAGTTGGACACGGTCATTTATTTTAAATTGCTTGGAAGTATTACAGTATTTATTCAAGCAGTTAAATATAACCACAAAATAAACAAATCTGTGCTAGAATGCATCAGTCACGTTTATTAGATGGGAGCTGCAGATTTACAGCAGTAGTAGGAAAGCATTTCTGGCAGGGAATATTGGCTTTGTCTTGTCCCTTCATAATCAAATTGGAGATTGTAAATTATTCATGATTCTAGCACTAGTTGGTAAGGAGGATAGTCTCCCTCTGCTGGAAGCAGCCATAGGATAAACCACGTACTATAACAAAAATCAGACCTAGGAATATACAAATAACAATACATTTTCATTAGGAAAACAGTATTAGGTCTAGTACCTTTTTCTGTTATAATACTTGCTGACTCATGTTTCTTACCTTCTGTTGTAAAGTGCTTAGTTTACAAATAAAGAGCAAAATTTATTCATACATTAACATACCTGTAATAGGTACGCATTAAAGATTTAAGCGTAATGTCAAAATAGACAGTGTGGTTATGCGAGACGTTTTTCCTGAGAACTCACAGGAGACCAAAACTCTGTAATCCTATGCTTTTTGTTTGCTTATTTGATGATTGTTTTAAATCTGCTAAGGCATGTTTTTAACAAAGGAAATACTGTCATTTTGTCTGTAAAATTCTAGTAAAAGAGCAGATGCCTTGATATGCCAGGGCATGCACTGTTCTTGCCAGAGATCCAGTTCAGGCACCTTTACCATCAGCAAAACGTAGAGTAGTGGAATCTGGCCTTCAGCTGGGCATCTGGTTTTACTCTGTGGCACATTAGATAAGGGGAAAAAAAAAAAAAAAAAAAAAACAACAAACTAAACAAAACTAAAATATTTGGAAGACATTTTTGTCGCCCTGTCCCCACCCTTAAGCAAGCTAGCATGACTATATGTGTGCTGGCATCCAAAGGATGAAATGACTTCAGATACAGAAGGGAATAGGAAGAGAGTGTTGACACCCAGCAGAGATTAATTCCCAATGTGTAAAGTGGGTCATCTACTGCATCCATCATGGCTGACATAGGTTTAAAATAATTACAGCATTAATTCTATGGGATTTAATAGGGTCATAAATATTTGAGACATTCCTTACCAGTATGTATTAAACTTCTCTTGGAACTCAAATTATATTTTAGCACACCCAGATCTAAATTTAATGTACAGTAGCACATTACCTGAACTGAAGTTCTTACTAATGAGAAATACATAAAGGCATACTATTAAATTCTGCAAAATATTAACTACTTTTCAGAAAGTGCAGTATAGTTTACACAGTAGCGCCATGCTATAAAAGGTTTATAATTCCATTTCTCTTCCACCTTGAATAAGGAAAAAAGAAGTTCTTAAAAATTTTGCAGTGCGGTTGTAAATAATATTGGTTATATTCACACTGCACCGTGAATACAATTAAAACAGTTCTGTGAACACAGAGGCAAGACAGCCTTTCAGTCAGTTATGTAATTGTACCTGAGTTACTTTATAATGTCTGCTAGTAATTCTCCTTTTAACATGTGCTTAATTTTATCTTGTACCTGGGAAAGGACCAAAAGAGAATTGAAGACATCATATTCCCATGGCAACAATACAAGCACAGCAGCCCTCTGAAGAGGCAGAAGAGAGACTGGGTTATTCCTCCAATCAACCTCCCAGAAAATTCCAGAGGACCTTTTCCTCAGGAATTAGTTAGGGTAAGGAAGTTAATAGAAATGTGGTTTCAGTGTCCCTCGGAGAGCTCTCAAAGAGATTTTGTGTAAATGATGTCTTATTCATTGTCCAGATGTTTACCAGAGTCTTTTGGGCTGGTTTCTGTTGCTGCCCCTACATAGTAGGCTGGGCTGCATTTACTAGGGTTTTTTTAGGTTGTCCCTGTGCTCCTGTACTGGTGGAAGGTGACCTTGGTTTGGGTGGTCAGTGCTGTGGTGACTTCCTTAAGCAGTTAAGGAGGATCTGGGGTGGTCAGGAGATCTCCAGTCTCGTGCATTGGGGTTTTCCACCTGGGGAAGGGTGTGGGGTGAGCAGGAGGAGGGGCGCACCGGGAGGCACAAGGAAACTGGGTCTGATGGGGTGAGGACACACCACAGGACTCTGCAGCACGGACGTGGCCACTGCCAGCACCCCAGCAAGGAGAGGGCTTCCAGCCATGCTACTGGGTGGTCACGGTCAGTCTGTTGGAACTTGGTAGAGCATGAGCCCAAGTTGATAGGGTATGGTTTTGCTTTGTTCTGTGGATGCACGTGCTGGTGATTCACCGGCTCCTCACAGTTGCAGTGCCCTTCAAGTTTTTCCTGGGAAGATGAGACCAAAGTTCAGTCTTTAAACAACAACGATGAGTTCTAAAGGGCTACTGCCAGTAGCAGAAGAGTGTGTAGCTTTGGCCTGGGAATATAGAGGACAAAGGGAAAAAAAAAAAAAGACTTTTTATTTCTTACTTAGTTATGTGATCGTGTATGTTTTCTCTAGGATCTAAACAATTCTGTTTAAGGTAAGAATACTTAATTGTTTTGTTTTAATGTAATTCATCCTATTATGAGAAATAAGCAGGGATATTTTTATGTTCCTGAAAAATCACTGAACAGCTTTCTGACAAACAAGAGTGCAGTTGAAAACTTCAAGCTTTATACTAACTTTACATCATTTCCAGAATAACTATTTTTACAAGTTTAGCTTAAAGATAGAAAAAAACAGAAAAATAAAAAAGAGCTGCTGCTTGTCTCAGCAGCAGTCCCATCCACTGGTGGTTTGTAGCTAATGTAACCATTATCTTTTCTGACACACAGATTAGGTCCGATCGTGATAAAAGCCTCTCGCTACGGTACAGTGTGACTGGCCCAGGAGCTGACCAACCTCCAACAGGCATCTTCATCATCAACCCCATCTCAGGACAGCTGTCTGTGACAAAGCCTTTAGACCGGGAGCAGATTGCTTCCTTTCATGTAAGAGTTTAATTTACCATAAGATTATCAAATTGAAGATTAACATCTGCTTCAGACATGACTTGAGCAGACAGCATTTAGTTTTCTATGAGATATGATTTGAAGAGTTTGTAACAGATTTGTATTTATTGCACTTACTAAGGCTAACTCTTACTGTGTTTAAGCAGCTTAAATACATTAACATATGTAAACAGTAATTAAATGTATTTAGATAAAGTAATTTTGAAAGATTGAAAAATGGTTAATGTAGCTTATATTTCAAATACAGGCCATTGATCACAGTCTCCACTGTATTGTATATTTTTCAAAAGTTTACTTTTAATTCAGCAACTTAAATTAGGACATGACTGCTATTAGAATTGCAGCAGCTGTGATTTGAGAAATGGATGGGAAGAATAACCTACCAATTTTCATTTTCAGGGGCAAATCTAAGCATTTTAATGGAATTGTAAATTAGATCTGTCAGCTTATGAAAATGATATTCTTTGCTCTAAAGAAATTGACAAAGTAGACCACAGATTCCAGTATTAGTGGAAAAGGAAGGTTTAAAGGAAGGGGGGAACCAGGCTATGAACTACAGTTGTCTCTGCTTTTGAGACCAACACTGAAGTAGTTACAGAAGTCGCTCAGCTCCTAGAGAGAGTTTTCAGCATGTTGTGTTGGGAATTAAAACACTCCTTACCTCACACTCTGGGAAGCACCTTAGAGCGCGGCTCCCGAACAGAGGCGGCATTGGGGGGGCGGAAAGTGGGGAAATGACTCTAACAGGACCAGCAGCTCCGGCCTCCATAAGATTTTTACTGAGAAATTGGCATTGGCAATTCAAGATTTAATGACTTAGGAATTTACATTTGCATGAGTAATTTCCAGAGTAGTGAGTTGCTAATGCCCTCTTGCTCCTTTCTAGTAGGTTTGTAGCCAGAAGATGGGGGGGTATGTAATGAACTTCAGCAGAAGCGCTGCAGGAGAAAGTTACTCTTCTGCCTGGCAACCGCCAGGCTCTGGCCTGAACACATAGGTTTACATTTTCAGAATGTACTGTGTTCCTTTTTTTTTTTGTCTGTCCAATTTAAGATGATTTAGGTAAACCTGACTGTCAAAGGTAGTTACTCAGCCTTTTTTGACAATCAGGGCATTAAATTTTAAATTAAATTAAATTAAAAGTGTCTCAGTATCTTTGAAACTCCGTCCATAAACTTTAGCTTAATTTTAGCCTGGAATTTCAGTGTGATTACTGTCAGTGATTTATCACAAACCCTATCTTTGTGTTCTGGGTAACACAATGTATTCCATATGCTTTTTGTATGCATTCATGTCTATTCAATATATGTAGTATCAGTAAAGAATTTTGGAAGTGATGCCAGTGTTCATTCCTTATGGACTCTTTAGTCCATTTAGTCCAGTTGTTTAATATAAATTGCATATTCCTAGAGTCTGTCTTCTAACAGTCATTATTAAAAACAGAATTCTGTGTGGCAGTAGGCATTGGTATTAATCAAAATTACATGATTCAAATTAATTTTCAGCAAATCAAAGAAGCAAGCCTGCAACTTAGAATAGTTTAGAAGTCTGAACAGCAGTTCCATTAGCAACCTGAAAGCTTAAAAGGTCGATATGAGGGAGCAGTGGCAGATAACCAAATACACTGAGCTAAAAATGGCCTGAAACTTCCTGTCACTGTTATTGTTGTATCTATTTGTGCTTGTATGTTGTACAAATTCTAATACTTTTAATGATTTTTGCAGCTGAGAGCGCACGCAGTGGATGTAAATGGAAACCAGGTGGAAAATCCTATTGACATTGTTATTAATGTCATTGATATGAATGACAATAGACCTGAATTCTTACACCAGGTTTGGAATGGGACAGTCCCTGAAGGATCAAAGCCAGGTAATACATGGACTTTCAAAGTGGGGGGGACAGTATGCAGTAACGTTTTGAAGGTGATGAAGAGGGTGCATTCAGAGCTTGTAATAGTTTCAAAGGCGTCTTTGTGTGATGAGCACAATCTCAGATACTGTCTTATTATTTCACCTTATTTTTAATTCACTTTTCAGCATGCTAGGATTAATTTTCAGAAGAAGAATGTATATGTACGTAAACTAAAACAGAGAAGTCTTGAAGAATATGACTTTTAGGTTCCAGTTCTTAGTTATGTTCATGATAGCCATTGATGTTCATTTAGTTGACAGCTTGGGGTATAAGAGACTTCTGAAATATCAGCAGATCCAGTTCTAGTTCTGAATCTCAGAGGCTTTGGAAATACTGGGATTTGAAATCAAACAGTTTCATTTGAATTCTCGACAAAACCCTAAATGGTGTTCACATCTTATTAAAATTCTAATTAGCTCAGACTAAAGTTTGCACTATGGCTGAAACCACTTGCTTAATTTGTCAGTAGTGCAAAATGAATTTTTTAGAAAGGTTAGCACAAGAAATGTATTTTCTCGCTTTGCAGTGTTGACTTGGCATTTGAGATGCGTCTCAAAGACCTTTGAAAGAGTATTATTTACACTGATTTTCAATCACTATCAGTATGTGCAATTCTGAACGTTAAGTATATTTCCTTTGGCCCAATTGATAAAGTTTTTATCTAAACTTGAGAAGCTCTGTTGTTACAGAAATGTTATTTATGGCAGAATTGTAGGATTTCATTGTTTATGGAGCTTCTTCAGTTATAAGCAAATCTGATATTTTATAAACACCAAGTATTTTTATCTCCTCTTATGTATTTTAATTACTCTGTTGGTGACTCTTGGGTTTAACCAGTTTGTTTTAAGTAAGAGAAGGAATGTGCAGAGTTTACCAAAAGAAATACATGCTTTGACCATGGCTTGTAAGTGATCTTGTGTAATCCAAGTAAACTGTTTATATAACATCAATTATTTATCCTGCTGCTAGGAACCTACGTGATGACTGTTACTGCCATCGATGCTGATGATCCCAATGCACAGAATGGGATGCTGAGATACAGAATCTTGTCACAGGCCCCGAGCAGCCCCTCTCCAAACATGTTTACAATCAACAATGAGACTGGTGACATTATCACCGTAGCAGCTGGGCTTGACAGAGAGGTACGGCAGATCTTAATCCCATAGGCTGTGTCGCACTTAATATTGTGAAGATGCACATTTTCACTCGTAACTCACAAATACTTCTCCCCCTCTCCAGTCTGAAATTTCTCCCTCTCTTCACCCATTTATTTTAGAAGCTCCAGAAGAGTTTCTGCCCTCCCTCTGTCCTCTTCCTTGCTCTTCACAGAGAGGTTGTAAATATTTGAAATCTTCTTGATGATGTGTTGCTAAATTGGTGATAATTCCCCGATCCGAGTTTTGCTTGTTAAAATAAACAGGAAAAATATTACCGATTTCAAAATTTGAAAAGCACATTTCTGAGAAATAAACCAGTCAGTATTGGAAACTACATAGGTAGAGACTTGTCTCAAGGCCTGGCCACGCATTCAAAATCTTTGTTAAAAAATAATACTACTTAAAAAAAAAATTCTGACTGTCACTTAATTCCCTGCCACATGGTGGGCAAGTCCTGTTCTGTCTAGACAGTTCGTCACTGTGCCCACCACCAGAGAAGGAGGGTGCCAGATCCTCTGCTCTGGTTCACCCATCTGTGAGGTGGGAATAAAAATATTTCCCTCCCAGCTGCAGATCTGTCACATGGACTAACTGCTTTTGAACCACTTGAAAACTTCACAAGAGATAAGCATTATTTTATAAACAAACTATAAAATCCAAACAAATCTCTTTTCAACACATGTTGTTTCAACTTCTGTTTCACTAACCTCATTTTAGCTCATTAAATCTGAAGGGGTTTTTTAACTGGATTTGCTGTTCAGCTTTTAGCAGTTTGCTTATACTTCTTTAAAACAGAGAACAAAATGACTTTCTGATGCTGTGGGTTGATTATTATTATTCTGATGCATTTCAGTTTGAAAGGGGCAATCAGAAGATTTGAAAAGCTAAACAGACTTAGATATTGCAATTAATTTTTAAATTTTTATTAACATTCTATTTAAGTTGGGTTTGAAGAGGATGGATTTGATGAAAGGAGAACTCTGAACTTTACAGTATTGCCCTATGAAATTAAAAGAATGATGGGCAGCTTTGCCCTTGTTTTTAAAAACCCCTCGTCTTCTTTGACAGGTGAAATTTCAGGAGGACATAGCGATACCTCTGAGTTTTATTACTTAGTGACTGTACTAGAGTGATTTAACCCAGAGCTTAGACCCTTGCATTATGAGTTGGAGAATCCTTGTCGTTCGTCATCAGTTTTTCTGATGGATCACTGTACTGATACCCAAATGAGTATTTATAAACATTTCTTGCACATCTTGAATATTAATGATTAATGTTAAATCATTCAAATATTAAATTAGACTAATATGAGATAAAATGGTTTCCTTCCCAAGCCATTGCTTTGCTTCCTTCATTTCCTGAGTCATTTTGTGGAAGTCAATTAAATTAAAACGACCGGGAGTCTAGAAAGCCAGATATAAATTGAGCAGGTCTTCTGACAGTGGGCTAGGGAGTGCCCTGTTGCACAAGGCTCCTTGTTGTCCACGAACCTCAGCTGGGCTACCCACCTCTGCCGTTCTGCCATTTTCTCAAAAAAAACCCCATTGTCATTCAAAAAAAACCAGTGGTGCCTCTGATAGCATTCCTCATCTACTAATATTTTATGTTAACATGCACAATGCATTATCTGTGCTAACATGCAGAGGAGGAGAATTGGTTAGGTAAGGGGACTCGGCTAACAGCAGAATAAGCCTTTCACTTGCTATCCCAAAAGATGCTGTTTCATGAGATCCAGCTGTTCTTACTTTTTCCACTATTGCTGTGGAATTCACTTCAGCATTAAAACATCTGCCTTCCTGCAGAAGGCCGAAGAAGTCAGGCAGGGTGCTTAAATTTACACACTGACATTCCTTCTTCACGTGAGGTTAATTCAGTGAAGTGCTCTTTTATTTGGCCTGTGCTGAAGTGGAAATATGTGACCTGATGAGGTCTGTATTCTTTCTTGAAGCTGCTGGTTCGTGTTCAGATATGTTGCTGCAAAGTCTCCGTGCAGGCAGCTGACACATGCTCCATGGCTTATTCCTGGCTGCTTCTCAACCTGCAGTAAAAAGGGAAGAGCCACCTCCCCCAATTTCCCCATGCTTGGAAACTTGTATGCTTGTTGATTTCTAAAATTTCATTCCCCACAGTTGATCTGTATGCGAGTGCTGAGAAGGGGGAAAAACAAACCAACCAACAAAAAACCAAAATGTGTTCTGTCTTTTGGGGCACTTTTGGGAGGGAAGTTTCTAGTGCACTGCTTCAGTTGGAATTAAATAAGAATATTGTACGGAAGTTGAGTCTCCGTGTAATAATAATGGAGTTTCCTTAATGAAATTTGCTTCTTGGAATCAATGTGTTAAGACCCAGATGAATCAGAAGCACCTGCTGTTTCAATAACATAGAATCATCTGGCTGCAAGATTGGCTTCAATACTGCTCTAGATTTTATTGCCTCACAATAAGTAAAGTATATTTTTTCCTGGATGAAAGAGGTAAAAATATTTCTTTGATTCCCTTGTGACTGCTTTTCTTGACGGTGTCGTGAAGGAAACCTTTAGGATGTTTATTTAAGCCTTTTGAAGGTCACTTTGCAAGTATATTTTCCAAGCTAGAATTCTTACATGTATTTGTGCACTATTTAACATATATACTGCATTTCTACATAAACAATATTAGATTTGCTTTTTAAAGAACCGTCGTGGGGTGCATAGATAGTAATACACATTTGGAGTGTGTAAGGGGTTTTTTTGTGAAAGAGGACATGAGCATAAATTACATTCAGTGGGAGATAAAGATTCACACAGCTTATTTCAAAAAACTTTTTTTTTTTATTCAGTGACTCATATTTGCTTCTTGGAAGTGTGCATAACCATTAAATCTCTAATGTCTGTCATCATGCCTGGCCAAAATTTGAAAGAAAGTTAGATATTATTAGTGGAATTGTCCTTGCTTATTTTTTGTACCAATATTCATAGTCCCTTTTTGTAAACTGTTTCCATGAGAAGTAATCTGTCATATACCCCAGTCTTGAAGTAGTGGGAGAAAATAAGGTACCAAGTGGAAAAAAAATAGACTTTTCTTTAAATATTTTTATGTTCCAGAAGGTTTTTGCCAGTGTTAGTAAACCATTCATGAAAGTGATATTCCAAAGTAATAACAACTCCTTCTGTTTGTGCATTTTCTTTTGGAGTGAACTGAATGATAACACCTAGCTCTCTCCGAGCTGGGAAACTGAACTGGTAAATGAAAAACATGCACAATGTTTGCATTTCATGGTAGAAACTGTCAACGAGTTAAAATCAGCTTTTCAGCAACTCTACACAAAAAACATCTTTTTTTTTTTTTTTTTTTTTTTTTCCTTCCCTAATACAACCTTGTCGACTTTGTTTTAAGCAGCTGTCCAGCTGGAGGTCAGGTCTCCGTTGGGCGTTTCATGTGCTGGAGGGAGCGCTGGCCCCGCTCCAGCCGTGAGGGGAGAGCGGAGCGCCTGGCGCGGGGCGAGCCGTTAGCGGTGGCACGCGGGGAGGGCCGTTAGCGGTGGCACGCGGGGCGGCGGGGGGGGGGGGGGGGGGGGGGGGGGGGGGGGGGGGGGGGGGGGGGGGGGGGGAGGGGCGCAGTGAAGGAGGCGGTGGCGGCCATCTTCGGCCGGGGTGTTTAACATTTATGGAAATAGACCGTGTGGTGGTTCACTCCCCACTTTCTCCCAGTGCCCTTACTCGTCTCTGCTAGCCTTGACATCTTCGGTTTCCATAGCGATCGCAAGACGTTGCAACAGCGGTTTTATACATGGGTTTGGCTGAAACAAAACCTTGGCAGTTGTGGCAGTTTGGCCAGCAAACCTACCTTGGCTCAGTTTTCTTAAATGCTTTTGATGACTTACCCTGTTTTAGTATAAACTGCACTCTGTTTTTTTTCCCCATTCAAAAAGTGGTGTTAAATCTGTGATAATAGTATTAACTGTATAAAGTGGTTTTGATTTTTGAGAGTAGGAAGCAGGCAGTCTGTCCTCGTCTCAGTAATGCTTGAATAATATCAAGTAGTAGTTCAACATAGCTAGATGCAGCCTAGTGCTGTATTCCTGTGGCACAAACTTTGCTCCTGTCATTTCGAGTGATGCTAACTAGAATAAACGGTGTGATAGGCTCCACTGCTTAGCGAAGAGCAGTTTTGGGAACCCCTGCTGTTCTGTGGTAATGTTAGTTTTGCCTACAACTTATGTTGATGTCATTTTGTGTTTTAGAAAGTACAACAATATACATTAATAATTCAAGCTACGGACATGGAAGGAAACCCAACATATGGTCTTTCAAACACAGCAACTGCTGTCATCACTGTGACAGATGTCAATGACAATCCTCCGGAGTTCACTGCCATGACTGTAAGTTGTCCTGGTTTCGGACATGGTACAACATAAGTACAGGGTAGGAGTAATGGAAGGATGCTCATATTCATAACCGTTACCGACTTTCCTCATTGTATTTACAGACAGTAAATATTTATTACTTATTAAATAGTGTACTGGCAGGAAGAATTGAAACAGGTACAGAACCATTAGGTGTACAGTATTCTGCTTAGGCCAAAAGGCAAAAGCTGACAAGGGAATCAAACCATCAGTTTTCTGGCCTTAGTTATTCATTAGATAGATTGTCAGAGCTCCAGTGAAGAGAGATGCGCTCCCTAATGCTGATGAATATTCAATATGGCATGGCTCTTGCGTGCTTTTGCAGCCGAGGTAAAATGTTTTCTTGTTTTTTAAAGTTCTATGGGGAAGTACCAGAAAACAGGGTGGATGTGATCGTAGCGAATCTGACAGTGACAGACAAAGATCAGCCCCACACACCTGCGTGGAATGCAATGTACCGAATGACCGGAGGAGACCCGACAGGTCGATTTACCATCCTGACTGATCCCAATAGCAACGATGGGCTAGTGACTGTTTTGAAGGTAAGAGATGCTTGTGCTTCAGAGAACTAAGCAGAGATGGAATAAATGGGGGAGAACATTGAGGGAGAAAAAAATATGAACTCCTGAGCCAGCACGTCTAGAAAGTAAAATGGATGGGCACTGTCTGTGTTGTGAAAGTTAGCCATCCCTCTCTTGGAGCATTCCAATAATACGCCAGCAGTATTATTCCAACTGATCAGTTTTAAAAATCAGGCTAAGTTGTTGAAAATAACAGATTTTGAAGCCTTATTTGCCAAAAGATAGGAATTAGTCTGAGAAAAAGCATTTGCTTAGTATTTGTTGCTAGTGTAAAGGAACAGCTTCCTACCTTCTGGCCTCCATTAGTAGTCACGCTTGTCTGTGGGTTTTATGTCAACATGTTCCCATTAAGGAACAGATATAGGCAGTCACGGCACAATCAGAGAGGAAAAAGTGATAGGTAGGAGGCTACTTCTACAAGAGGCTTTTAAAGACTGACTATTTTTAAAATCTCATTTAAATACCTTTTATGGAATAACCCGTTTATCTTCATTCTCTAGCCAACACAGCTCTGTGTTGAGGGCTGACTTATTTCAAGTGATAATAACAATTTGGTTCTATATTTAAACCTGCCAGGCAGTAGCCACCTCTCCACATGGTGCTCTGATAAGTGTCTCAGAGTTTGGCCACTTATGAAGTCAAGTGTGAGATGCCAGTGTTCCCATTTAGAAATTAAAACTTTCACTCTTTTTTTTTCCTTCATTTTTTTTCGCCTTTTTTTAATCTTCTCGCTATCTAGGTGACAAAAAGATACAATTTTGTACAGCTATAGTGGTATTTCACACTAGGTTTTTTTTAAGAACTGTCTCTGTTTTATAACTGCACTTTCCCAGAGGTACCAATTGTTATATTGCAGTCTTCAGCAAGAATTATGTGCATGTCTGTGCTTTGTAGCACGCCTTTAAGCACACAGACATGGGAAGAGTTGGAAGCCTGCCTACTGTCTTTATTGGCAGTGCGATGAGTAGATCTGTTAACCTATAATGAAGATTGGATTGTCTCTTGTCACTGACTTCATACTGCCACGTGCCACCTGCCCCTGGAAGGTACAGGGTTCCTTCAAGTCTAGAATCAGTACAAGTAGTACAGTGCATAGCACTAAGGCAAATCATATCTCAGGGAGTGCCTCACCCCTGTGCAGCATGACAGAGGAGCTTCAGCTTCAAACTGGTCCCCAAACTGAAGGTTGTCTGTGCTGCAAAGATGGGAGCTGTAGGTATACCTGAAGTAGGATTAGATGGGATTACAAAGAGTCTTTCTGGTGAAACATTAAGGGCATGAGAATTTCTGATCTCTGGGGCTAGGAACGGTCATGATCTTGTTTGAAGGAAACCTTCTTCCTCATAACAGAGAGAGGCAGGTTTCTCTCCCAGGAGAGCTCCTCAGGAGGCACGTGAGTGCCTGGCACAAAGCTGGGAGTTTCTACATCATTTTCAGATGAAACTGCTTGTTTCCTCCGTTACCTCTGATGGCAGTACCAGAGTAAGTTAAATCCAAGAATTACAAGGTTTCTAGCTGTTCTGACTTCAAAATTGCTGCTGCTAAGCAAAGCCTCGGTCTAGTCTTGCACTGAGTTGTTACATTTAGTGGGTTCTCTTTAGGCTCTGTGCTCATTTTTGAGAAAAGCTATACAACAAGTAAGGTTTAAAATGTGCTTTAAGGGAAAAATGTGTGCCCATCACTGTTGTGAGTAAATGTTAACACTTCTTGCTCTTTGTTTCTCCCAGCCTATTGACTTTGAGACCAACAGGATGTTCGTACTTACTGTAGCTGCGGAAAATCAAGTGCCTTTGGCTAAGGGGATTCAGCATCCTCCTCAGTCAACAGCAACCGTGTCCATTACGGTCATTGATGTGAATGAGAGCCCGTATTTTGTTCCAAATCCTAAGCTTGTACGTCAAGAAGAAGGGCTACTTGCTGGTAGCATGTTGACAACTTTTACTGCTCAGGACCCAGATCGTTACATGCAGCAAACCTCTCTAAGGTCTGTATAAAAATTTTGCACTTAGTTAATAATTGAAATGCAATATCTGTGATACAGAATGGGTGGGGAGTAAGAGACTGCATATGAAATGACCACTTTTACCATAGCACACAGCTATATCACTATCTCCCGTGGCTTTTGTGTAGCTCCCTCTGAAGGGATTTTTGGCTGTAGAGAAGGTGACCTGACCAGCGTTTATAGATCTGTAAACTGGGTCATCTTCTAATGCTAAGTTCCATTTCATCAAGGTAGAATAAAGTTGAACATCTGTGTTAAAGTAGACATGATATCCCAGTAAATTCAGTCAGATCAGACACATGCTTGTGTGAACTAAAATTATTTGCAATTTAAATTAACCAATAATTTTGACATGGCAGCAAAATCACATAAGATTGTTGACCAATCTGAAGGGTTTTCTTCTCATTTATTCTCCAGCGATGCAAAGTGTTGCTGTTGTCCATCTGTGAACTCTTGTACTGATAGCTATGATGATAATTTGCCTAATGTCTAAAACTATGCTAAATGGGAAAATTGAAGAGAATAAAACATGGAAATCTTAAAGCATGCTTTCTCATACCTCATTTAAACATGGTCATTCACTGCAAAGCTAAGGCACAGTGACTAGCTGTGGGCCCCAGAGCTTAGGTTCCTAGCTTATCCAACAGTCTTTTTAGCTCATGTAGAGGAAACTCCAGGACTTTGTGTCTTTCCTGCCAAAATCAAGGTTCTTACAACTTTATTTTCTCTTAATTTTGGCTAGCTTTTGCTGATATTTTGCTCATTTCTGGATGTAGCCATTGTAGACATGATAGCATGAGGACTTAAATATATATATATGTATTTTTAATGACCTAAAATAGCTTACATTTCATTAATGTGAAAGGGCAACTTTATCAGATAGAAGGATGGTTTTGAAAGACACTCCTCTTTAAATTAAGATGAGAAGCATGCAGGAAACCAGGGTCTCTAAAAAATTAAGTTATATTGGAAGAACTGGAATAATGCAAGTTAGTGCTACTCTAACACCCTTTACTCATTGTTACCTCTCTCCTGCTTTCAAGTGCTCTGAAAAAAGTTAGTATTAACAGCTCTGTAGGTACAGAGCAAGCAATAGGGATCCTTAATGAGTATTTGAATTGAGCCTGAACATTGTATAGTTTATGGTAATTGTATGATTTCCCCCAGTTACATGAGAACTTACTTGGCAGGGCACTTCAAGAATCTGAATGTAGGGCTGTTTTTAATGCACATTTTCAAGAATTTTAGCAACAAGGCATAATAAATGGAAATGTGTTAAATTTTGTTTTCAGATTCCAAAAATATGTTCAGAATACAAATTAAAATACTAATATTGTGTTTGCGGTCAATATTTATTTTGGCAGATAAATAACACAACTTGTGATCAAATACACAGGTACTCAAAACTTTCAGATCCTGCAAACTGGCTGAAAATTGACCCTGTTAATGGACAAATAACTACTACAGCTGTTTTGGACAGAGAGTCAATATATGTGCAAAACAATATGTATAATGCAACGTTTCTTGCTTCTGATAATGGTATGTATCAACAGTTTATATTTTTTCAATAAACTTTCTTCTGTGTGGTTTAAATGGCATTCAATTTTACTGGAGCAGAAAACAAGATACTTTTAGAATACATCCAATTGTAAGTCTGTGTTAGTATCAGACTTTGTATGTTTCCCAGCTACTTGGGAAATGGGCTGAAAAATATTCTATGAGTTTGGAGAAAGGCACCAGCTTAGTTATATTAGTCAAGGTTACAGAAAACTGAAAACACTGCACAGGAGTGCAGTAGGCTGATGGAATGCACAGCATGAGTGGACTTTATGGGGAGGAATGTGTTGGGGGGGGTATTGTATTTTTCTGCATTCAGGCTACAGTAGTGCAGAGAGAAAAGCGTCTTTTAATTGTCAGTTTGTTAATGACAGTTAACAATCTCTGCTCAGAAATGAGCCCTTTGATTTTGGCTGGAGTGCTGTACAGTTCATAGCTGATACCAGAAAGATGGACAGGTGCAGGAGTGTTCTGGCATTAGAGGAAAAGACATGAAACACTGAGGGTGTTTACTTTGGAGAGAAAGCAAATGGCAAAATTTTGCGAACAGATAAAGTGTAACAAAGCCAGATCAACTATTTCTATCCTTTTGGCTCTGTTGTGAAGAAAAATTAAATGGAACTGGGAGATTATGGGGGGTGGGAGTGGATTGAGAACCATTGCTAATTATACTGCAAAATTCAGTGCTACATGTTCACATAAATGTGTGACTTTAGCAAGGTTTACGAAAGCATCACACATTTGATATGGATAGCAAGAATGTCTAGAAGTAGTGTGCTGAAAGCCAGTATTAGAAAGAATTTAAATAGCACACTTGTGGTAAAGAGTGATCATAAGTCTTCAAAGTTACAAAATAATTTCTCCAGAGGATAAACTATTCCAATTTTGCACCTCTTTCTTTGAAGCATTTGATGAGCACTGTCTCTGGAGACGAACTGGCTGTCTGGTCAGTAAAGTGGTTGAGTCCCTGATCTGAGGATTTGCTGAATTTTGCTGAGTAGGGCAGATTTTTCTCAGTATGGACTACGTAAGAATTTGTGTATTATCAGAAGCAGTGACAGTGTCAGACTGGCTTGGTAAAGACAGAATCCCAAAACTGAGGTGAACATATGTACATGGTAATTGAAAAGTGTTGGTATAGCTTCATTTCAGTAGCTTTGCAATTGGAAACAGATCCAATACCATTTTCTTTTCTTTAAGGAATTCCCCGATGAGTGGAACCGGCACACTTCAGATATACCTGCTGGACATCAATGATAATGCTCCCCAAGTGAATCCGAAAGAAGCCACGACTTGTGAAACACTACAGCCTAATGCTATTAACATCACTGCTGTAGACCCTGATATAGATCCAAATGCAGGCCCCTTTGCCTTTGAGCTGCCTGACACACCTGCTAGTATTAAGAGGAATTGGACCATTGTTCGAATTAGTGGTAATTAATATTCTAGAAGTCATAATAATTTTAAAGACACCATTGCATATGCTTTTCAATATTTCACCTTGGTGTTATTTTGCAATGTTTTGGTTAATATGAATACATATTATATTCCTATTCATAGTAACAGTTTGGTTAATATGAATAGGAAAGCACTTCATAGTGCAAGTTCCCCAAAGAACAATACATTTTAAGAAAGAGGACATGTTCACAGTCTGTTATTCTGAGTGAGATGTAGTGGGTTGAACAACAAGTTAACACAGAGCTTGTTTTGCCAGTGCTGTTTTAAACCCACGTAAGCAGTATATTACTTTTTTAACAAGTGCCTTATTTTCACACAGGGGATCACGCCCAGCTCTCTTTAAGGATCAGGTTCCTGGAGGCTGGTATCTATGATGTGCCCATAGTAATTACAGATTCGGGAAATCCACATGCATCTAGCACTTCCGTGCTGAAAGTGAAAGTTTGCCAATGTGATATAAACGGAGACTGCACTGACGTTGACCGGATCGTTGGCGCTGGACTGGGCACTGGTGCCATCATTGCAATTCTGCTTTGTATCATCATCTTGCTCAGTGAGTAGATAGATCTCTTGATCCTAACTCTTCTATTCTTGTTTCGCAAGTACCACCTTGTGTTTTAGTTCTGTGTAACTTGACAAAGGCTGGGGAGTGATTAGAGACCGAAGTCTGAGAGTTGTTGCCGTTTAGTTTAATGTCTTGGACAAGTATGAAAACTTTCTGATGATGAAGGAGTAGGAGTCTGTGAGATCATACCTAACACTTGCATGACAGTCAAGACCCACAGTGGGTTTGTGAAAGAAATTTTCCATCTGTGCCCATGGGCACTTGTTATGTTATGTCAGTGAGTGACCAGGTTGAAGATGTGATTAGCTCCCAGACGTCTTGTGCTGCTGGTACTGTGTGGCTTGACACCACCCACAGCGGTTAACAGTGCTTTTAAGGAGTCCTCTGCTGTTACTACTATTGTGCTTCAGATTAATGTAAGTAGGCTACTTGATGATTTTGGAAAGTAATACATCACAGCCCTTCGTATAAGGCCCGACAAGCAGGCAGCCATGCAGGAACAGAGAAGTGTATTTGTTTAAGTACTACATAAAGCTGTGCTAGTATTTTATTTTTGTTGAGTGCATTCAATAAGGGAAATGACTAAACATCATGACTATCTGTCTGTCCAGTGTAGTAAATTAGATGCTAGCTCTCCTACATATTACGGTTAACTGATTTCTGATTGTGATGGAACACAAGGAGGGGATTAACCTCTTCAGAGTATACTGTGCACCAGTCCAAAACATACAAAAGGATGGAAAGGAGTAAAGTAAAAATAAAATTTTAAAAAAATATTTGAGCCTGGCTAAGCCCATGGCTGTACACAAGCACAGTCAATTTCTTTCAATTATTTTCTTAAATAATTTTCTTATTCATAATTATTTTCTTGATATAAGATCCTCTTAAAATATTAGGTATTGAATTAACAGAGCCTTATTGAAACTATCAGATCCTCTAAGATATTCTTCATATATTGATATTCTAGATACCTAGGAGTTTCTTTCCATGAAGACAGTTGTAATTGGAAACATGCCTATTGTATTAGGAATTCATTTACTCACATTTATTCTGTTCTGTTTCTCATTTGGTTTTCTTTAACAGGTTTAGTTTGTAAACAAGTAATGCAACTTGTTCAGATTAAGGATTAAAATACATAGGTCAAAATGTCACTGCATTTTCCTCAACCCTGATTTCTCTTCTAAACAGAAATCTAAACTTAAGTAACAATCTGGACTGCTGTGATGTATGCCAAAATGGCCTAAGCTTGGTCATGTTCAAATGTCAGAATTACTTAAACTATATAAATTGCTGTATATTCTTGGGACATAGCAGAAAAAATATAAATAATAACATTTTTTAGAATTCTTGCCATTACTAGAGAGATTCCCTTCTGAACCCTGTGGTTTATGAGGCTTGGTCTTTCTTATATCTTTTCATGACAAGTTTATTTTGCGGGTTGTGGAATGGATTTGTGACTTATGACCTTGAATATGTGATTGATTTCCAAATCAAATTGCCTATAGTAGCCTGAGTTTAAACATCTCTTGCTTAATCTACCTTCTATGATTTTTTTTATTAAAACAAACAAGAAATCTCATCCAGAACAGTCAAAAGGGAACACGGCTTTTTTCTAGTTTTCTTTTTTTAAATCTTGGTGTTAAATTTGTACAATTTTCCACGGCTGTACTTCAGAATCAAGATTTGGTTTTATGTCTTCTTTTTTTTGCAATGTAGTTTTAGTTTTAATGTTTGTGGTGTGGATGAAGCGCCGTGATAAAGAGCGTCAGGCAAAGCAGCTCTTGATTGATCCAGAATGATGTGAGGGACAACATTCTGAAATATGATGAAGAGGGTGGTGGAGAAGAAGATCAGGTGAGGAGTGATTAATGATTTTTATGTATAGCTTTGCACTTCACTCTGTACTTTATCTATTTTGTTATTAAATACTGAAGGCATTAAATACTGAAAGCAATCAGTAACATTTTAAAAACCTGAAATACAACATTTATCTCGTGTTGTTTTTTGCAGTTCCAGAAATACCAATTGCTTGCCTTTTGGATGAGATGTAAAACCAATATCTTGTCCAGTTACAGTCACAACAATCTGACCATATTCTAACTAATCCTGTTATAATTAAATGAAAATTAAAGCCACTCTCATTGCAGTCTGTAAAGTTTCTTCACACCTTGTCTGGGATCAGAATCACCAGTGCAGAATGCCTGATATAATCTATTCCAAATATGACCCTTTTTTGGTGGCGGGTGAATGCCTTTCTAGATACACAGTAATGTTGGCTATTGACAAATTGGCCACTACTGGGATTTCAGCTTGGAAAGTATTTATGTTTCAAGTAGCTGTCAGGACACATCTGTGTTTATTCAAATACCTTTCCAGGCAGGTGCCATATGCATTTACTCTCATGTCACCTCTGTTTGAACCACTGCTGATATGTCAGAGGACAAGAAGTGATGTGTATATGCTAAGAATAGCTTCTTTCTCTCTCTCCCTCAAATTAGTGAATTTCCAAGCAGTGTGATTTCCTTCCTTCAGAGGACTTTTATTAAGTGCTTTATGAACATGACAAACAGTAGATTTATGCACATTATTAGTGGTAGAGGTAAGTGTAACAATTATGAAGGGAACAGTGCATATAATAGAGCCTAAGAAATTTTCCAGAAAAAAGCCTTGAAAAATTAAGTGTACACATTCCCAGTCACAGTTATCTAGCACTTGAGTTATCTGAAAAGTGTCTCCCTTCACTGGTACAGACATTTATAGCTTCCCGATGCTAATTTGTTTGTCTAAAATATGTGTTCCCCTTAGTAATTTCCATGCTTCCTGCATGTCCCCAAGAACTGTTCGTACTTCTTGGCTTTTCTGCATAACTTTATTTTTAAGCAATTTGCAAAGGAAACTTCAGTTTATGCCATTTTGGAAACTTGCTTATGTTACTAAATAAATTGAAGACAACCCTTTGAGTTGATGTGTGTATTCCAGTTCTTTGTACGCAGATAGTTTGAGTACAAGAATTGCATCCTGGTTTTGCATCTGTTGTTGCACAAAAGAGTTAGAAGCTTAAGAAACATAAAGAAAACTCAGTCCTGTGAGAACTAATTTTCCAGTTCACATATCCCCAGCTCTTGTTCACCAGCAATTTTCCGGAGGATCTGTTCAGCAATTTTCATGTGATTTTGATTTATAATTGTTGTCCACACAACCGTCAGGACGTAGTCAGTAAGGTTCTCAGAGTATATACTGTTCATTTGGAAATCATAGGTGATGCTAGAACAGTGTTGGGAGAGGTTGTGCTGCAGATCAGAAACTTTAAGCATTGTTGTCACAGTGTACATACAATGAGAGTAAAATACTTAACAGCTTAGAAATGGTGCTAAAGTCTTCCCTCTGTCCATCTTGTACTGTGCTCCTCTCCAGTGAAAGTGCTGTCTTTGTGAGAGGTATAGTGGGGTAGTGTGGCAGGAGGCAGCATTTTGTGAGTGCTGTAGGGATGAGCAGGATGTAAACCATCCATAAATGCAGCCTTTCACCAGCCGTGAATGAGTGTAGTGCACACAGTGAAAGGAAAAACTGTCAATGGGTGGAGTAGCAGTAAATGATAAGAAATGTGAAATTAGGATCATTTCTTCTCGCGTTGAGCAGAAGAAGCACCTAGACACAGAGAGGTTTAAGGGCTTTACAGAAAATTTAATGATTTTTAGCCACAGAACCCCTACGTGCTTTCTTAAGACAAATTTTAAGGCCACTGATGCAAATTAATTATCTTTGCTGCCAGCCACATAGTTCAGGTGCACTGGTCCCTTTCCTGATCCACTGAGCAGTAGACCATAGGGTCTAAGCATCTAGAAGGTCTTTATACACTCCAAAAATAACAAACACAGCAGGAAAAAAAATAAAAGCTCATACAAAGCATAGCAAGTTTTATAACCACTTCTGTAGCAAGAGTTTTAGACCACTGGATAGGCAAAAAGGGGGTAGGTTTTCCCACAGCTCCAAAGTTTGTAATTTGTTCCTGTCCAGAATGGCTGAATGGAGAGAACAAACTTTTCATGTAGGCACTTAATTTTCTGTCTAGAGTGGATGATGGAAATAAGTTTTCTTTTGCTTTTCAGGGATATTATTTTACTTTATTTTATTTTGGCTTGGCATTTCATAAAACCTAATTTCTGCCTGTGGTTAACTAGATGATAATAGATCCTGGGTTCATTTGGTTTTGGTTCCCTCCTTGCCCCCCTCACCTCCTGTGCCCAGAGGAAAGAGGGAGGATTATATCTGGTTGGGTTTTATTTGGTTTTGTATGCATTTTATGTGACATTTAAGAAGTTGGAATGCTAAGCTTTTGAAATGTTCCTACAAGTAGTAATCTAATTTTTGCAAACCATGGTTTAGCAAAATACTGTACAAGCAAAGCTGTGTGCAGTACATACTGGGCAAAAGGCATTGGCCATAAAGATTTTTGCATTTTTGTCAAAGTTAAGCGTTAGAGTGTCAGAGTGTTCTAAAAAAGCATGAGACTGCCATCAAAAATCTATTTTCAGAATGGGGCCTCATAGGGTAAAGCTGCCACTGTTCTATTAAAATCAAGAAAATTATTTCATGTCAACCTTGCATCCACGAGTCATCAGCAAATGACAGAGGAAAATGCTCTACGTCAATATTAACTTTTTATGATGCACTCTCCCCAAAACCATCAGGATTGATTGAATAAGCAGCTTCAGTAGAAGGCAGTACACAAGGTGACTCAGAAACATAGAACCATCTAACCCAGAGTGCACCTCATGCAGCAAAATAGAAGAGAATGCTCAAAGCTTCATGTGAATCTCAGTAAAAACAATATTTTAAAAGCTTCAGATGTTTTCATAATCTGTACCCTTTAAAAGTAATTACTTGTATTTATAGCAAGCAAATTAGTTAGGCCTTCTTAAAATTGCCTTCTTCTCTGGGTGAATACTGGAAGATTTACCTTGTGTGGCCTCATATTTTTCTTGTTTATCCCAGACGTTTAGGTGACTTGAAGATATGGCTAGTAAGGCTCGAAGTGTGATACAGTTCAGGACTCTGCATCCTGAAGCAAACTACTTCCAGACTTGTGGTTTTGCTCTTGGAATAATTCATTTATTTTAAGAGGGTTTGTTTATTTATTTGGAAGCTATGTAGTTGGGTTTCTTAGCTTTCACAGCAGACCCAGAAGCCAGTAAAGCATGCTCAGCATGTTCCTTTCAAACTCTCTGTACATGCTATCAGAGTAAAATCTCCTGCAACAAGTTTGATGAGTTCCAAATTCCAGCTTAGTTCCCCAGTCATATCAGCTGTCAACAAGGTGGAATTCCTGATTGGTTTTGGTTGTTTGTTTGGTTTTGTTTTGGTTTGTTTGGGGTTTTTTGGGGAGGGAGGGGGTTGTTGTTGTTTCTTGGGTTTGTTTTTTTTTTTTTCCTCCTGTGCTAGCACTTCCAAGGAATTATGATTTGAAGTCTGTCATAAAAGACCAGTTTATTCCATCATGAAGGTCCCGTGTTAATTCCATCTGAGGCCATCTTGGCCTGCTTTGTTCACTCTGACAGACTGAATGCTTGTAAAGAAAATTGAGGTTCTTGAAAGATTCACAGTCTTCCTCTAGCATGGCATGATGTACACAGGCTCATGTGATCTCTACAGCAGTTGAGAGAAATGCTTTTAAATCCCTAGGTCAGATAAGCTCTTGAGTTGTGGGTCATATCTGAAGTTAGCCTGGTCCTCACTGAAGAGCGTTGTCGGAGCATTGTCAACACCAGAAATGTTCTGGACTTTTTTCACCTGAACTTCTGTTTCTCAGAAATGTGGGCTGAAAAACTGGCTCTGAA